GTGTGTCTGTGTGTGTGTGTGTATGTGTGTTTGTGTGTGTGTGTGTGTATGTGTGTGCGTGCGTGCGTGTGTGCGTGCGTGCTGTGTGCACGTGTGGGCGTGTGCGTGCGTGTGTATCTGGGTGGTGGTGGATAGTGGTGGATCTCGGTGTGGCCGGTGTGGGGTCTTGGTCTTTGGGTGTGGGTGTGTGTGGATGTGGAGGTGTGGGTGTGGGTGTGGGTTGTCCTCGCTGTCTGCTTGTGATAAGTGTGGATTGCTTTTGTGCTGGCGCTGATGGCACACGCTGTTACTACTAATAAGTGCTGAGCGCGAGGTGCTAAGCATATCTAAGTGGTCTGTGCTGTACAGGTGCTAACATGATATGCATGATATGACTGATATGATATGACTAAGCCTGACCAAGCAGTGCAGTTCCCAGTACAATCGCTTGCCAGTGCTGTCTGCGCTATGCTAACTGCTACGTCGCTGTCCTACGTCATCACCGAGCAATGAAGCAAAACGTGACACAGCAACAACGTGGCAACGGCAAAATTGCAAAGTGCTGTGTTATGCTATATTGAAAGGCCACGATGCGAGCAAGTCTACAAGCGAAGCCAGCCAAGCAACAGTGACAGCTGAGCAATTGGCCATGATTGATGTTTTGAGTAATAGTCCAGGAATCGGTATTGATAATATTGATAGTTGATTTTCTTTTGGCTCAGGCCCAGGTTGATTGTATGTCTGCCGGTCCCGCTGTCTATAGGTGACTGTTGGTTTGGATGTTGCGGTTTGCGTGATTGTGTGTATGTTTGTTTGTTTGGTTGTGTGCCTGTCTGCTTGCGTGTCTGTGTCTGTGTGTGTCCTTGTGCTTGTCTATGAGTCTGTGGCACGGTTCGCCCGTTTGTCTCTCTGTTTGTCTATCTGACTGTGTGCATCTCTGTCACCGTCTGTCGCTCGTATGGGATCACTGTACCGATGTCACCGAAATGCAGCAGCAATCGAATCAAAAAAAAAAGCCAATCTTGTCTACACGTAAGGCCCTTCCCGAGGGCCCCTCGGGAGGCCCCTCCCGAAGGGCCCCTCGGGAGGCCGCTCCCAAGGGCCTCTCGGGAGGGCGCTCCCGAGGGGCCTTCGGGAGGGCCTTTCTGAGAGGCCCTCGGGAGGGCCCTTCCGAGGGGCCCTCGGGAGGGCCCTCCCGAGGGGGTCTGGGAGGGGCCTCCCGAGGGGCCCTCGGGGCCCTCCCGAGGGGCCCTCGCCTCCGAGGGACTCTCGGGAGGGAGGTCCCGAGAGTCGGGAAGGGGTTTGTCAAAGATATCATCCAAAGACCTCGACTGAGAGAGCATCCCTAAGTTTGTTTGGCCTTGTCGTTTTAGGATACAGCAGCTGGCAGCTGTGACCGGCGATCGGCGTTGGCAAACAACTCAGCACAGCAAGCAAGAATAAAAACTAATAAATTATACATGCCGACATGACTGATGCTACGCTTGCATCCACGCCTGCACTGGCTACCACGCATGTCCTGGCAGCGGTGTTGTAGCCATACTCATTATCCTCATTAGCCAAGCTTTCTGCATGCTGCATGCTAGCACGGTGCTGGCAGGCTGACTGGAGTGGAGCTTGCATATGCATGGTCAATGCATGGTGCAGCCACATGACATAGTATCTGATCACAGCCACATACACATGCAGTCCGCACTTGGAGTTTTACTGTGTTGAGTTCAGAGCAGCTCCCAGTTTCCAGGCAACGCAAGTCAGCAAAACAACTAACCGGCCGGCATCACTCATGAGCAAAGGCTTCCAGCACACAACGGTGCGTCATCACTGGAACTACTGGAACTACCATCTGGTCCATCTGCGCGGTGCACTTCCAAGTCTTCTGAGTGCTCAGACGTCGTCTCATTCTCCTGGACCTCATCGATCTCTGTCGCACAGTCATGACTGCAACCAGCCTCGCCGTTACCAGTGCTATCCCTGCTGCCGTGATCGTGCTCCAAGACAACGTCGGAGTCGGAGTCTGAGGTCAAGTCTATGGCGTCAGCAGGTGCTGCCGTCAGGCACGGCCAGGTTTGATGCTCACCGTTGTGAGCACCATCATCGTTGGCGTCAAGGACAGCTTTAGGCGACGGCAACGTCGAGACTGTCGGGGCTGGGGTGGCACGCATCTGCACATGTATGTGCTTAGTGATGTGCTTGTGCTTGTGCCTATAGGCGGCGTGACTGTGGTAGTGATTGTGAGTGGTGGTGCACCAGTGGTTGTGCGTGTGATACTGCACATGTATCTGCGAGCCTGGCAAAACTGGACCCACTCTGTCCAGCGTCGTGGGCACGCTGGGTGGCCCAACCCCTGCTGCAACGTCTGGCTCGTGTGGACCGACCGACACTTCAGAATACGAATCATCCGAATCCGAATCATCATGCTCTACCTCCATCTCGGACCCGGAAGGGTCGGACGGAGAGACGGTCGGGACAGCATCGGCAGCCGCGTCGCCAGCCACGGCCACGTCACTGGTGTCCATAGGCACGGCATCATCAGGCGCATGACCTTCTGACATTCTTCCCGATGCCTAGTTACGGCACTGCACTCATGACAACCAGCATGTTGTTCCTGCGCCCGTGCTTGCTGTTCCAACGTTCTGTTGTTGTTAACCAGCAATTGTGTTCATTGCGGCTACGACGTTAAGCTTTTGTGAGTGCACAGCAAAACCACTGAAACTGAGGCCTAGCCTGGCAGGCAACTCAACACAGCATCATGCAGCATGTGGCGAGCCTCTGAGAATAGGAAATGCAGGCAACGCAGGCATGCACGACTCCACGATGTCATGGTCCATGACTCCCATGATGACATGTCTGTGAGACAGCCGTGTCCGAGAGCAGTCATGTGACATGTGCAGTCATGAGCAGTCGTGTGGCGACGTGTGGGGTGCATGCAACATGGCTCTTTCAACCAGCCAGGCCTTCTTGTTCTTTCCTGCTGGCGCTGCAAGGCAGCGGATTGCATTCCTGGCATGGGGCAGGACAGGATGCAGTGTCAGAATGCACATGCATTGCGCGATTAACGGTGACTGCCATTGCTCGCGGCACGGTCTGGTATTTCTGGTGCACACATCAAGCCGTCCGAGTCCACTTCTAAAGAGCGCCCCAGGAGAGCCCCAGCACACACCTCATTTATGCGGCTGAGGCTGATGCTCGACGTTCGCTCTTCGGGAGATTGACGGGCTGCGGAGGAGGAGGTCCATAAGGTGGTTCCTTCTGAACACGCTCGGGACTCTCATCTGTGCTCAGCCCTTCCTGCAGACGGTGTACCATGAGCACGATGCCGCTGTCCGACGAGGCTGGCGACGATCCCCTGTACTTGGATGACAGAGATCGCGGTTCACTTGAGGAACTTGAGGCCCTGATAAGCTCGTGGCGTGCACTTGGCTTGGACATGCTCGGGCGCTTGGAGATCGACTTGACTGGGGCCGCCTTGGCCTTGGCTGTCGAGGGACGTTTGACGGCTCTTGACGTAGTAGAGCAGACTGCAGGTCTCTTGTTGACTTGCAGCGCCATGCCCGAACTGCCAGCAATTGGCAAGCAGTGAGGAAAGGCTGAGGAGGCTGAGGAAAGGTGTTTGACTCTCGCGGCTGCACTCCTCCATGCGCACTGTCAGACTGTCATTGAACTGTGTGAACACACAAAGTATGAGAAGTACACACGTGCATTGCATCATGAACTCGGGCACTCATAGGCTCAGAGGCTGTGGGGCTATGGGCACATGGCACATGATGCTGGCACATGGATAATTTCTCAGGTTCTTATGATTTAAGATTCATGATCATGCCAAAGCAGGACTCCACTCATTGCAGACGACACGGCAGGCCTCGAATCCCGATGGTGACACCGACGAAGCCGACGTGTAGCCATCAGCGAGTTCCAACCTGGGCCAACAGCTGGTGACGACGTTGGTGCAACACAAGCAATGCTGGCAGCGCACTGCCTGTGCAACTCATGACAGGACACATGACTGTAGGCATGCAGGCAGGCAGGCAGGCTGTCTCAACGATGTCGAGGTCGAGCTGAGCAAAAGCTTGCTTTTTATCGCGTGCACTATGCGGGCGTGGCCGGCGCCCAAGAGTGCAATCCTCGGGGCGGTCCACAGCAGCCCGCCATTACGACGATTATGCCAGCCAAAGCCTGACATATTGGCCATGGGCCCATGGGCCCATGGGCCATGTAAGCACAGCAACTCAGACTCAGACTGACATGAAATGGTGACATGACATGTGACATGAGCTGATCAACCTTAGGCGAGATAGAGGCAGTGCCAGCAAGGGGCAGTCTGGTCAGTCCACATCAGCTGAAGGTTTCTGCTTGCGGCCCTGGCGGCGCCTCTTTTGACGATCCTTCCACTGAAGAGGAGGACTGGGACATGGCCCAGACATGCAGCATGCAGAGAGACAGAGAGAGGCAGTGCGCAGCACTACGGCATGGCTCGTGACTTATGCCTAACTTATGCCAGAACTTATGCCACATGTCAAATGACTCATGAAGCAGTGAAGCAGTGCCAAGTTTGCACGGCACGTCAACCCATCAGCCCATCATGTGTGTCCCATGGTCATGTGTCCTTGTCCTGCTGACGTGGGTCGCGTGGCTCGTCAGCCGCGGCCGTGGCCGCGGCCGTGGCTGCGGCCTCATCATCAATAGGATCCATCGTGACCTGGCTCCCATTGCCACCGTTGCCACCCTTTGCATCCTGCTCCTGGTAGTCAGCCAACAGAACAAACAAGGCGCACCACGGCCCGACACCACTGACACCACGGCCCCACTGCTGTCAAACGCCGATACAATCATGTTCAATAATGTTCTCATGGAGCAAGCACCAGCACCGCACACGTGGCAGAAACTTGCGACTCAATACCTCTAACGACTCAGCCGCTGCAGTACTAACACATGCAGTCACATGCACTGTGACATGAGCAGACATGCACACGCAGTAGCTCGCACTTGTGACTGTGACTCCTTTCATGTAACCATGTCAATTATCATGCGGCGCTGTCCTCGTCAGACTTTCCGAGTCCATCGTACATCTGTTCCAGAGCCCGTGTCTGCGGCGTCGCAGAAGAGGCAGAGCGGCTACTTGAAGAGCTGTCCGAGGATTCCGAGTCCGAAGATGGTGAGGTCGTCTTGGACTTCCTGGAGCTTTTGCCCTTGGGGCGCTTCTTCCGCTTTGCATCCTCCTCATCATCCTGGCAGACAACAGAGATCGAGACACAACAGACCGTTCAACAGACCAGAGGCACGTGCGGCCGAACTCGGCAGAACCACTCACTTTGCGGCTCCAAAGGGGCCTTCGCGGCCTTCGCCTTCGAGCCCCTCGAGCTCCGCTTTTTGGGCGATGCTGCCTGGAAACACTGGAGACGTGACATCAGACATCAGACATGGGAACAGGCAGCTCCACACGCCCCATCCCACGGCATGTTGGGGGCCTTCTTCGCCGGCTTGGCAACAGCCGCCTTTGCCGCCTTTGCCTTGGCCGGCGTCCCAGGCTCCTGCTCATGCTTCACTTGGCTGCGACTGAGGAACACTTGGTGACTTGGATCAAGCAGGCACCACCTGCCGTAACTGCGTAACGTAACCAGATTTAAAAAGGCTTGTGTTGCATAGAACAACAGAGACACCGCAGCATCTGCTTGGCTTACATACTTCCTGTCCTTGGCTGCGGCGCGCGGCTTGGATCCATGCCCACGCCCACGCCCACGCTCCTCCTGCAAAGAACCACAGAAAGTCAGTAAGGCAACTGGCCATGACTCTCATCACGGGAGGGGAGGAAAGGGTGAGGCGGCGACTGCTCATGCTCACGTGGCGCACATGCACTGCACAGATCGCATGTCTCATGATTAGTAGCTATCATAGCTATCTCATAATCATGAATCATGGCAGATGGCAATCTTCGTCATGTTGATGTGTCGCGTCATGTTGCATCAATGCACACAGACTGACAGACCATCACGTGAGCATCCCTTGCATGTGTCTCAAACTCTACATGAATCAGGCCTTCTTGTTCTTGTCTGCTTCAGCCGCCGACGCCGACGCTTGGCCCGCTTGGGTCCTTATCTCACTTTTCTGCCGCAGCTCCTGAGCATGTGCAGATTATGTGACTGCAAGCAATGTGCAAGCCGCCCTACTGTTTACCGGCTGACCCTCGCCTCAGCGAACGTGTGTGCAGATTTCTCCGTCGACGGAGACTTCTTCTCGTCCTGCGACAAGCTGTGACCCAGACTGTGATTAGACAAGCGCGCCTCAGCGATTGTGCCCTCCTTGGGCGCAGCTTTCTCCGGTTTCTCCGCCGCCTTCGACTTTTTCTCGTCCTGCGACAAGCAGCTGTGACTGTGATTAGAGAAGTGTGAAGTGTGCCTGAGCGAACGTGCCCTCCTTGGGCGCAGCCGCTTTCTCCGGTTTCTCGGCCGACTTCGACTTCTTCTCGTCCTGCGACAAGCTGTGACTGTGATTAGAGAAGTGTGCCTGAGCGAACGTGCCCTCCTTGGGCTCTTTCTCCGGTTTCTCGGCCGACTTCGACTCCTTCTCGTCCTGCGACAAGCTGTGACTGTGATTAGACAAGCGCGCCTCAGTGAACGTGCCCTCCTTGCGTGGAGCCTTCTTCGGTTTCTCCGCCGACTTTGACTTCTCGTCCTGCGACAAGATGTGACTGTGATTAGACAAGCGCCCCTCAGCGAACGTGCCCGGTCCTTGGGCGGAGCTTTCTCCGCCGCCGGCTTCTTCTCGTCCTGCGACAAGCTGTGACTCTGATTGAACAAGCTAAACAGACGGCATGACGGCCTTGCCAAGCCACTCACGCGGCCCACGCTCTGGCTCCGGCTGCGACTGCTGAGCCTGAGAAGCAGCGCGGTTTAGTTTATGTTAAGCTATAGCAGATGCAGATCTCCTACTCTTGTTGAC